TTATTTATAATTAATATATTTCAAAGCATGGCTCCAAAATGATTCTGAATATATTGTAACATACCTTGATTATAAAATACATATTAAGGTTTAAAACCATTAGGATAGAAATGCTCATGGAAACAGGATAAATAAGATCTAAAATGTACATGCAGCAATCCAACTATACAAAATACTATTACATGATTAATACTATTTTAGAAAGATATAATGTAAGATGATAAACCAATAAATGTTTAATAAAACTGCCAATAAAAGAGGGAGGTTTACTTTTATAAAATGGTGTATTTCTGGTCAATATGGACCACCATTTGAAGTTTTAATTTTGCCTTTAATAAAGCATATTTTTTTTCCTTTCATATGTTCAGTTCTACATGATTTCTCTTAAAGTTATCTAATGGAAGAGTGGTTCCTTTGGTTTTTTTCTCTCTCACAATGCTGGATGCCTTCTTAGATTGGCTAATCTTGGACTTAAACCCTGAAGAAAAGCTAAGCAATTCTAGACGACACTCACTTTAGAATATTTCTGGCTTTTCAAACCACCTTTGTCCTGTTCCTTTCTTGGCCCCTGAACCAAACTACTAAGTCATACCTTTTAATACAAAAATGGGCCCTGTAAAAGTAATGAAGTTATTTTTTGGCTTAGTTTTCCTTCGTCTCATAAAACTGGGATAATATTCATCCCAGTGATGACCTCACAATTTTGGATTTGTGATGAAGTAATATGTTTAAGTATCATGACTTGACTACAGAATCATGCTCCCTTATGAAATGGAAATTCTTATTTTGTTTTAGTATGTAGTTATGAATATAAATGCTACAATACAGAAAGTTTTAAAAACAGAAGGAAAAATTAATTACAATTCCACCTACCAAAACTATTTCAATGAAAACATCTTTATTCTAATAAGCTTCACTTTATCATTTTAGTAAAAGTCTCCCAGCCACACTGACCACAAAATGAATATTTTTAAATATTCAAGTATGCAAGAGCTCAAGATGATGGCCAGCTCTTTGATAGACTGAACGTTCGGTTTACGAGGTGTTTTGTAACATTTCCCAAGCATTATCAACGTGTTCCCAACTCAAGGATCTCCCTTCTTGTACTTCTTTCTCACCTATCTTTGGCCAGGATGAGGAATCATCCCAACTTTATACCCAGAGTTTCAAAATATTGCTTTCTTTTTCCTAGATGTCGAATAGAACTGGGGTACAAAATGACCTTTCATTAGTAGGTCTACCATCTCATAAATGAGGCAAATTAGTCTAAAAATTATTTATAAAGCTGTAGATTACATAAAATATTTTTTACTTTTATTAATGTTCCTTTAAAACAAGAATTTCCAGGTTGACTGCATCTTGTGTGAACTCCGAAAACAAAAATGTGTTGTATATAAAATACTTTAATGAAAATTTACTCTTAACACATACTTGTCGCTCCAGGTCCTGAATTTTTTTGGCATCAACTGCTTTATCTTTTAAGCGTATCTTCTGCTGAATAGATGGATTCCCAGAT